AAATTCCACTTTTATTTAAATTGACATTTGTGGCCACAATTCACTTGGTAATTTAATCGCTCCTATTTCCAGAACATTTACATTTTTGATACTGTTGCGTTAGAAAGAGAGCACAGCAAAATAGCCTCCACGCAATATAATGATACGCAACGCAACACAGAGATTCAAGCTAAAAGTGCACATTTATTCAATATGGAGGCTTACCAAGAGAAGGTTTTAGTTTAGATTATAAAGGTTTCATATCTCGAAATTTTGAGTTCAGGTTCCAAGTTAGCTACGTCATCGGCGTTACGCAAGCCATGCAAGGTGGATTGATCTAGAAATGACGCAGTCCGGAAAAACTATTAATATGATTTTTAGAATAAAGAAGGGAAATTAAGGAGTTACCGATAGTTTAAATCCTAATTTTGATTTACATTATTTTTTATTTTACATATATAAGTATATAGATATATATATATATATAAACTATTAAAAACTTTCCATTGATATTAAAACATTTCCGTGAAAGATATTTACGAAACATAAATATATAAAAAAGCAAACATAGTTTCTTGAAAACATACAGTTTCGTGACACGTTTGAATTGTACTTTTATAGGAGCATTTTTGATCTGCTATGCGAAAATGCTATCAGTATCACGATTTAACATGCTGTGGTGTATTATGGAATTGTAACATGTAGGTGAATTCCAAAACATTCTTGTAGATCATCATACGAGGGATTGGTACGTAATGTTCTTTATACATTATGTTATTTGGGAGTGTCACTAGCATTGAATCACTTGAATTGAAAGTTCTGGTGCAAGTGAAGTCGCAATTGTGTGAATGTCTTACAATGATCAGCGCAAATATATCAATGGTGTTCTTTACTGTTAATAACAACCAGCAGAGTACTGTTCAAAAATCGCTGTTCACCGTAGTAGTAATGCTGGGCTTCATATAACATAGTAGGTGTCCGCCGATAACATCGCGGCAAAAACATCGTGGATGAAAACGTCGCGGAGAAAACAACGCAAGGCGAAAACGTCGTGCTACAAAACATCGTGGGAGAAAACATCGCAAAGAGAAAACATCGCAGTTCTAAAACATCGTGGCACAAAACATCTTCGTCGAAAATAAAGCGGTTCAAAAACATCGCAGTTTAAAAACATCGTCGTCGAAAATATCGTGGTAAAAAATAAAGTATCTACAAATCATCGCATGACGATAGCATCGCAGACATGCTTTTTTCAGGTTTTAATAATTGTAAATGGATATTCCCATAATGATTTGTGAGCGCAAGGTGTAAAGAAGGATAAATTTTATTTTCACATTTTTTTATTAACTAATAAATTTTTGCTGAAAACGTAAGAAAACTTAAGCATAGAAAATTAAATGTAACTTATAGATTATACTTTTCATGAAATATTACCAGTAAAAACTTTAATAAAAATGATTTATTAATGGCCTTTGTTAGTTAACTATGTCGGTTTAAAATTCTATTAAGTGCTATAAGTTGCATTAATTTTCTATGCTTAAGTTTCCTTTTTATTTTCTCAGCAAAAATTTATTAATTAATAAAAATATGAAAGTAAAAATTATCCTTCTTTCCATCTTGCGCTCACAAATCATTATGGGAATATCCATTTACACTTATTAAAGCATGCCTGAAAAAAGCATGTCTGCGATGTTATCGTCATGCGATGATTTGTAGATACTTTATTTTTTACCACGATATTTTCGACGACGATGTTTTTAAACTGCGAAGTTTTTGAACCGCTTTATTTTCGACGACGGTGTTTTGTACCACGATGTTTTAGAACTGCGATGTTTTCTCTTTGCGATGTTTTCTCCCACGATGTTTTGTAGCACGACGTTTTCGCCTTGCGTTGTTTTCTCCGCGACGTTTTCGTCCACGATGTTTTTGCCGCGATGTTTTCGGCTGTAACCAACATAGTATGAGGAAAGCAAATCTTGGATTCTAGGCCAATGGGAATGTTATATAGAGACATAAGTCCAGATTCATATTCTAACAAACATACATAGGTGATGCTAAGGGAAGAGTTAAAATTGAGCTATATTATTCGTAATTTTGCTGTTATAGCACTGAAGTAACAAAAGAAGTTCGAAAAATATCATACCTTGTAACAAGAAGCACATGACTCTACACTTGATATATAAGGGAGAAGTTAGGAAAATAGAATTGAATCCTTCATACTTCAGTCTTAATCATACCGAACATGTTTAAATGAACATAATTGTTGAAAACGTGCGCTCAAAGGTCGCTTAAGAACATGAAATTTATATTTATACTTTTCTCGAAGAACATTTTACCTGATACTCGCAAAATTCAGTAAAAGGTGTCTTATAGAAAGTTTTGCGGTTATTAAATCCAAATATTTCAGTGCAATGTGTTTGAAACAGAACGAAATATAATTTCACCTAAAAAATCAGTCGTCAAGATATATTAATGTCTGAAGAAATTAAAGTACATACCAGTCTTTATCTAATTCTCGATTTAGTCTCAGTCCCGGCCTAGTGTGTCGGCGATTCTTACTTGAACGTATGTTCTCTGTTTTGACTTGACATCTTCTTTCGAATCATTTTTCTCACGACATAGACATTATGACCATATTTAGTTTTTTATTTTGCAAACTTGTTTTAGGAAAGAATACAGATTTTAATTACTTATTACTGTATGATCATTATAAAAATTCTGAAATCAATTAACTGTTTTATTCAATTTTAAAAATTAGTCTGCTCTTATAATTTTTAAATCATTTTATTCTGGGGGTAGCTGTGATGGATTTTCTTTCTTTTGTATCCTTTTCAATTTATATCTTTTAGCTTAATTCTGAAAAATGCATTAGTATTTATAATTATTTTGTTATTCTTATATATGAACAGGTTTTCGTATGTATGCACATGTTCGGAGGAAGGAAGAATTAACAGATATTTAACAAAAGATTATGTTGATAGGAACGGAAATCTCGGTCCCCCGAACTGGGAAAATTTTATATTAGAGAGTTTTTAATTAAAAATTTGTTACGTTGCAGATTTTAAGCAAATCTTATCTAGGAAACGAAAGGAAATTAGGAAAATTAAGTAAACTTTAATGCTACTGCAGGAAATATTTTTATTAGTATTGTCTATAGCAAGTAAAATAATTAATTAAAAGTACGTTGATGAAAAAGGTGTGTATATATATGTTCGCGTGTAATGAAAAGATACATTTGTAGATGCTTTCTCGGAACTTAAAGAAACATGAATGTAACCTAGCGTATTTGCGACAGACATGAGGTAAAAAAAATGTTGAATCCTTTAAATGTAATAGTGATTTTAGTAGTTAAGTTACAAATGTAAACATCGCAATTTTTGCCATGCAAGTATAGCAAAGTTTCAATTACTGTTTAATAATTTGTTAGACGTTTCCCATTCTGTCAAACATATTGATAAAGGAAAGTCAATTTTCCGTAAAAAACAATTAAGATAAATAATTGATATAAATACATTTAGAGACATCTAAAAATATGTATTAAGATCTGGTAAATGAAACAGATCCTTATCAAAGTAAGTAGCACATTAGCTTAATACGATTTTTCTTCGCTAAGTCCCAGACGAGTGAAAACGGTAGTGCACACTTTTTGCTAATCATGAACAACATAATTAGCAAAATGATGGGAGTGTTTTCTTTAAAATGTCATCTCCTGATTTACTTTAACGACAATAACAATACCAAAAAGGTATATTTTCCTTTCTTTATACTTAAAAACTGCCATACATTTATTAATTCAAAACAGCCTTATTTGAAGCCATTTATTGAAGAATACGAAATTTGATAGTCAGCGATTAGTAGCTATAATATTTTCAATCAATATAATTCAAAAGACAAAACCTAGTTGGAAATTGTATTAAGGCAACTTTCAGTCATGGAGTCTTAAAAATTAACAAGCTGATATTGTCCTGTAATAGACTGGACAATAACGCCTGGTTATTTAATTTTCTAATCACATTTCCTGTCGGACTAAAATGTACATTCGTTTGGAGCGTGTAGACTTGTTTCTGTATGCTCTTGTACAATGGCACATAAACCTTTCGATTTTGTTTACCCCGCGAAAGTTAATTTGAACTTTATGGTAAATGGAGTTAATGCTTTCATTTATGCAAGTCTTAAAATCAGTTAAAAAATTATACGCTTCTTAATTTTATTTTTAAAAATACTTCATTATTTTAGATGATTATCTGCTTACTTGGGATTTAAGGTACATCTCTCTCCGCTTATTTAAGAATATAAGAATTTTTCAAATTTTCTCAAACAGTAAACTTGGCCAAATAAGATAAAAACATTCGAAATTGATACGCTTAACTCAAACGCTTTTACTGATAGAAATAATAAAAGACATATTTCACTCATTATGACATATATAAAATCTTCTTTTTATTGAATATACACACATGTTTGGTTATTACGTTTTTTAGTTTTCCTGTAAAGATTTATTGATTATTTTATTCGTTTTTATTTATATTTGCTATTTCAATGGAAAAGAGCTATTGTATTTATTAGTATACTTATCTATCTAACTACCTATCGACATATATATATATATATTTATAGAAGAAACTAGCTTTTAGAATATATATTTTCGAGTATAAGTAGTCATTGGAGAACTAGTTTTACCTTGTAAAACTAGTCTGAAGTGAAATCTTGGAAAAGAGGTTTTGAGAGATTTATCTAGGATTACAACTTCACTCTCCAAACCACTTTTCTTTACATTGAAATTGTAGCGTGCAGTAAGGAATAGAGATTTTCGTGAGAGCGCTGATTTGTAGACAGTGGCGGGCAGAACAGTTTTTCTTTTCCTCAGAGAGTGCGAAGCGCGAGAGGGCGCTATCGTAACACGGAAGCGCCTCAATGAAACGGGGAATGTTCGGAGTTTCGGAGGAATCAGTGGTATCGTTCCGTTTCGCCGTCAGCAGTCGACACATATGAAGGGGCAACCGATAAATTCCTACTTTGGACCCACTTAGATACTCTCCAGCATTATGTCTAGTGGTAGAAATACCCTTGAAAACATTTTGCGGAAAATGTTGCTGGTAATTTTTTTTCTCATTTTCACGTGGCAAACTGATAACTGTCACCCTAATAACAACAATATTGAGCATACTCTACCACGGAACAATAAGATGGATAATTTCACATATTCATTTTGGAGACACTTTACAGGTGTGTTTAACAACACTTTCACTTGGCCGGACCAAAATATCATAAGAACATCAACTACAAATATCCGCAAAAGTGTTCATAAACGGAATGAACCAACGGAAGACAGAGATAATTACATTTGGCCAATAAAGCAGGTGGCTGAAATTAAAGGAGATATCGTTTTAGGAGGCTTAATGATGATTCATGAGAGAGAAGATAAAAAGATTTGTGGTCCCATAATGCCCCAAGGAGGTATTCAGGCCTTAGAATGCATGCTTTATACAATAGACTGGATAAATAGTCAAGAGGGTTTTCTACCAGGTTTCAAACTTGGAGCTTATGTGTTAGATGACTGCGACAAAGATACTTATGGCTTAGAGCAAGCCGTTGACTTCATTAAAGGTATGCAATTTCATATATAAATTGAACCATCAACTTCAGCAACCATAATTTCTTTCTTGTTTCTTTTATGAATTCTTCATATTTGAGGTATGTATATGACATAACGATCTATGCACACACACGTACATATATGTATGCATGGACATGTATGTATACATTAATATTGAAAATTCCATTATGACACTTGATTTGAAATTAAGTTGAAAATTTCATATACTAGAATATGAAATAGCTTTATGTAATAATGCACTTTTAAAGCAATATTTTAATAGTTTTAATTATTTCTTTTAATATGCATTTTCAGTAAATTTAATGGATATCTTTTTGGTTGACAGAAGGCTTTTTTCCTTCTTGGAAAAACCCATTATTTAATTTTATTTTAATATTCTAAATATATAGTTTTGGCTCCTTTGCGAGTGCATTAAATTTAATATATGCAAAGATTTTATAGCCAGATGTCATTCGGTAGTTTGCAGATGAGTGAGAATTTTGTGTCATAATTATTATTTTACGCTATTCGTCTTACCATAGAATACAAAATTCAGGATTCATTTAATCAAAGGACTTTTACTTTATTTTAATTGATAATTTCCTCCTCTCATATTCTAAATTCTGATATTCTGATATTTTGAGAAACTTGGCGAAGTTTTCTACCCTATTAATAATTTCTTCTGAATGATTTGAACGTTTCTCGACAATAGTTTCTAGTGTACCAACATTTAAAAAACCTAAACTTTTATAGAGGGAAAACTATATTTTAATTATATATTTCATAAATGGAATATGTTTCATAAAGGGAATATATTTCATAAACCGAAAACTATATCAACATTATTGCAGTTCTGAGTATCAACTGTTAGTGCTACATTTAACCGAACGTTGCACTTCTGAGTAAACTGCCTGCAGTTTAGAATCACTGTATTATCATTTAAGCTTCAATGTTAAGAATAAAAGCGACGAAAGGAAATGAAACTTTCCTGGAAATATCGGGATGAATTTCGAATTATAACATAAAAGATACATTTTTCAAAATAAATTGGTATATATATTTGTGTTTTTTCCTCACTTACACCTCCTTTTAGCTTCTAGATAACTAGAATTCTCTTGTTCAGTAACTTGTATTCATTTATTTGTTATAATTTTATACTAATAAAAAAACTTATTTAGAAAACGTGAGTGGTTTTTAACAATAAATATAAACTATTTCAGTAAATTCCATTCTTATGAAATTTTTGTTTGCTCCAGAACAGCTTTGATTCTCAGAGTTGATAGATTTTTAAGAGATGATAGATTTTTAAGAGTTGATAAGATGAGATTTTTAAGAGATGATAGATTTTTAAGAGTTGATTTTAAGAGCTTCAGAGTTGATAGATTTTTAAGATTCTTTTAGCGGAAGACCTTTACGAATTCGAATTCTTAAATGCACCACGAGTTTTAAAATTTCCGTTTGGTAGAATCTTAACAGTATTCCGATTACACCAAAACACTGAAAATCGGTCTTCTAGAAATTTAAACGCATTAAAAGTCTAACGCTAGAAGTACTGATAACTAACCTGCTTCTCTCCTGACCAGTAGATGAGCCGGTATTTCGACTAGTTGAGAGTTAGAATGCTATGAAGTATTAAAAATATGCTCACTTTCCTCTGTAAAATATTTTAAGTCATATAAATGAGTGCTTTTACTGTAATGAGTAATAAGTAGTTAAATGGAATATAATGGAACGCAAATATATTCTTCACTGGAGTTTCTGGAGAAAAATACTAAATTATACTTCACTGATTAACAATTTACATATTTGAGAAGATATGTATGTGAATTTATATTAATAAATTCATGTTTCTCAGATATTATAAAATCTGGTATAAGTTAACTTAGTATTAAATAAACAAGATCCTGATTTTAATTAATTTTGACACATTAATTTTTCATTAATTTTAATTAATGATTTGACTTTATACCTGCGCTGTATTCAATTACTGATTTAATAGTAAACTATTCTTTTCTCTTCTTTTTTTTGCGAATCTTTCGTTTCATCGTTTACGCTATGAAAACTGCCACAGTATAATCAAAGACTAAAATTACAGATGTTGCTTAATGAAAACTAGAATGAATATGTTTTAAAGTTTAATGCAAATTTTCTTTATGATATATTTTATTAAAAAGTTGTCCTAACAGGGAATCCTCTGCCATTAATAGTACGAAATTTTTTTTAATTGCCATGTTTATATAGTTGTAAAAATATATTTTTACAATTATTTAAAAAATTTTACAACTATTTAAAAAAATAAACAAATTTTCGGAAAGATAAACAGATAGTATTCCGAAAAATGTTATAATGTAATATTAAGAGTGTGGACTCCATGCAAGGTTTCAGTTACAGTTTTAAGCCATATTTGTTTTTTCATGGTGGCAATTTACAAAATTGTGAAAAATATAACTTAGAAAAATGTCAAAACTAAAATAAGAAAAAGCATCAATCCTAGAAGTAGTCTTATATGTTAGATGTTTCAGTACATACAATGAATTCAGTAAAGAGTGGTGGTATAGTGGTGTATTTAATTATCGCAAAGCACACTAGGGCTATCTGCCTAAGGGAAGGAATGTCTTCGTGGAGGACTTTCTAAGGGAAACTGGCTCGTATACACGTTACAAATGGGGAAAATCACGAAAACACCCATGCAGCCAGCCCGTTCGCGGGATTCGAACCTCGGACCGAACTACCAGTGTTCAGCGATTTTACCGCTCGGGCGCTGGTGGGCCAATTCAGTAAAGAGAAACTGAGGAACACTGAGTGATTCAGTATAGGGAAAAGCCGGGCATCACAGGAAGAGGAAGATGAAGCCATTTGAGCTTATTTCATATAAAATCCCCCAGTTATTTTTTTTCAGCCTCGAGAAATCTTTGTTTGCTCCTACTTTCAGATATTAGCAGCAATTCAATTTGCTTAAAACTTGGCATTTTACATCTTATATTGTAGAGACATTATTTAATTTTTGGAAGCAGGGAATTGAAAAATTAGCAACGCCTTCGCCTGGAATCGATCCGCGGACCTCTGGAGTACGCGCCCAGCGTGCACACCACCACACCACGGGGGCATGCCAAGAAAGCGGGAGAAATACCTTATAATATTAACATACATGTTTTTGTATTCAACAATGCCAACACTTTTTTATATACAAAGTAACATGAGAATTTGGCGATAAACGAGGGAACTGTGTTATGTTATAGGTAGTTTAAAAAGCATTCTTCAGTATGGAATATCATTTTACTGATGGAATAAATTGAGGGGATGCACAGGAAAGCTCCAAAGAAATGTAGTGTTTTGGGAAAATTACAGGATGGTGGTTTTTTTTTCTGCTTTATTCTAGCTATCAAACAGCATTTTATATTATTTTATATTGAAGTTCATAGTTGAAGAGCGAATTAGGCTTAAATATTATACGTTTCATAAGCTATTTTCAGATATAAGAAGCTTCACATTATATTCACATTACTAACTTGAACATAGTATGCAAAATTTTCATTTATAAACAACTGTTCGTACCATAATGTACTATTAAATATTGAAAACATGTATATAGTAATTTTCCAATTTCTTTTAAGTATTCTTCATTTTTTTTACTTCTGCGCAATGTAGTAAGAAGTGAAGTAAGAATTATTTCTACGCAATGTAACAAGAATTACTTCTACGCAATGTAGTAAGAATTACTTCTACTCAATGTAGTAAGAAATTGTACAAGAATTCAATTCTGTTCATTGTTAAATATTCATATAGCGGCGCATCTTGCATTCAGTAGTAATGATTCACAGCTCAGATTAAGTAAGTGTGAATCCACTAGAAGAGGCCGACGTTCAAACAGTCGGAAATTAAAACTGGCATTAAAAAGTGTATTGATTTAATCAAGGTGATTTATTTTATTCTAAGAGACACGGGAGCTCACTTGTTGCATTCGATTGTAAATTTAGGAGTAAACTTTAAATAATTTAATGACTCTCAGATTCAGCAGCATGAGTGTTAACTTTCTATCTGCATTCGTATTCTTTCAAGTCCATCCTCGTGTATTTTATTCTTTAGATGCGCATCATTACGATGCGTTAGATTTTTATTGTATATTATTGTATGTTATTGTATGTTGTATATGTATGACTTTTAAAGTATATTAAGAGCTTTGCACATGAGGACAATTAAACAACATTCTTTTTAAATTAGATTTCGAGCTGTTGCTAGTTAACACGTGTTGCCTGGTGTCAGCTGAAATGGAAAAACACTGAAAGTAGATAATTTAAAGTGGTTTTAAATCCATGAAATGGAATTAGAAAGAAAGAAATGAAATGATGAAAGAAATGGAAGTAGCAGCATTTTGGTGGCTTTCTTATGAGTAACGGGAATGCAGGACAGTTTCTGTTAAAACGACTTTCTTTTACGTTTCTTTTAAAAAAAATTCTGTCATCCCCAAACTTCTGAACCTTTATTTTGTGCCTGCCTAAATTTATTTTAAACATATTCTAAGCAAAATTTCGGTTTTCTTCCCTTACACTACGCTAAAATTTCCCTACATTGTTTTAACATTTCTTAAGACATGATTCAGGGTTTGGCTTTTTTCAGATTCATTATTCGACGAAACATCCTTGAATTCACGTTAAGATGTATTGCCTGATTCCTTTACAGAGCCGACCTCATCAGTTGATTAGGTGAGAATTTCTTCTTCCATAGATTTACATATCCTTGTCAAATCTTCGAAATCAGATTTTTACTTCCTTGTACGAAGTATTATCATCGCGAAGTATTTTGGATATCATATTTCAAAGTAAATACACATTTTCCCCGTTTACGTGTCCATTTAGACAATTTTTTGCATGACGTCTGTACGTACGGATAGAATAAAGGACTGTTTATCCCAAAAGGTATTGTAAAATTATTTAAAATATGTTTTTTTCTCGTGATATCTGTACTTACATATGCATGTATTCACGTATGTATCTTACATGACTCAAACACGATTACCAGTAGAACGTTGAA